ATTTCAAAGGTCTTCTGTCTTCTGGCATGGGTCTTCGAGAAAACAGTCAGAATATTTCAAATTTGCATTGATGGGCATCTTTTCTATCTAAAGACAAAAATGGAGGATGGATCAACAAAATTAATTTGGAAGACTGTAAAAAAAAAATAAATAAATAAATAAATTGAAAAAGCCAATATGTGTCAGTGAAAATTCATAAAAAAACTGCAAATTTGCTTCTAGAAGAGAATGCAGACTGGTGTCCAACTCAAGCTGCATTTCAGTCCTATGAATCTTTTCAGTAAGTTTGACAATCACAAGTAACATGGTTTTCCTTAAATGGCCATTATGATGACAGTGTTCCAAAAAGAATTTCCTCAATTTTGATGCAATATTACATAATGCTGACCATCAATTTCATTAATAAAATATAAATATAAGGGATATTCAGAAAACGTGACTAACAAAGGTCTTCAGACCCACGGGACTTCAAAGTTACACCTTGAAAATGCCAATATGTGAAAAATTAAAATTTCACAAAAAACTGAAAACAGAAAAACTGGAGGATCAAAGAGGTGATACTGCCTCCGGGTATTGTACCACCAGCTTGAGTAAAAGCATTCATTTTTCCATTTGTATCCTCTTGGAGAACATCAAACAAGACAAAAGCCAGAATTAAGATGCCAATGAAGAACATAAATGTGAAAATAAAACCTAAAATAGCCTGTAGTCCAAGATTTGTTAACAATGTTGATGGCCATTTTATTATTTTGTTTAACTCAAGAATTAAATGTTACACTGTATAATACAACACAACTTGATTCTTATATCTTCTTTGTAACTGTTTAGGAAGTCTGATCACTTCACCAAAGTTTTTTTATAGAAAATCAAACATTAACAAAATTATGAGACAACATACTTAGGGAGCTGTGTATTTACAATCACTGGCAATTGAAGTTTTTCACCTCTCTCTCTCTCTCTCTCTCTCTCTCTCTCTCTCTCTATATATATATATATATATATATATATTTATATATACCTCAGTGTCTCCCAGCGTGTCCTTCTCAAAGGTCTTCAGTACAATAGTTAACAGTCCATACACTATGGAATGGCTCATCTCAGACAACTGAAATAATGATCAAACAATAAATGCCATTTATATAGACTAGTCCTTCATACTACAGAGATACATATAGTACAACCTGTAAAATATAATACATATATAAAATATAATGGAAAAGTATCCTCTCCTCTCTTTCTCTCTCTCTCATAGACACCCACACATAAAATTAAAATTTTCTAAACAGAAAATAATATATAATTCCAATCTTATCGGGTATATCAGCTCCAAGGGTTGGTATGGAAGTTTTTTTTTCAGTCCTAATAAAATCATGTGCAATCTCACTCTTGGTTTCACACCATAGTTTAAAATGAATTGTATGCATGCATGCATGCATGCATGTAAGTAAGTAAGTAAGTAAGTAAGTAAGTAAGTAAGTAAGTAAGTAACTAGCACCAAGATGGTCTGAATCTGAACTTCAGATCAGAAAGATTAATGATCTTACGTTATCTTATTCAATACTTGTCAACATTGACAATTTAAGAGAGGTAGATTTCCTTGTGTGCCCTATGTCTCACACACACACACACACACACACACACACACACACACACACACAACTTTATCAGAACTTTATATCAAGTCTTTCAATGTTTGACATGCAATATATCTATATAACATATCTAGTAAAGTGCCATAAGCAGATTTACAACTTAGCTGTAGCAACAGCCTGTTTTCATCAATAATTGAAACAAGTTAATTCTTGCACTGTGACATTACAGTGTCCATCATGTCGCTTTCATCAGTGATAGTACAGTATTAAGACCAACATTAAAAGGTTCCTTTAAACTTTCTTTCAACTTTTAAAAAGTGCAAGTTCATGCATCAGGAACTTAGCAAACAAAAGAAACCAGGGGAGATATCATGCCTACCAAACTACCAGACATGGTACCTTAGGTTCCAGAATTCACCAGTAGATCAGATTGCACTACCAATTTTGAAGGTGTGTATCAGTATGCATTTCACAGTATCATACCCCTGGAGAAATTTTGTTCAATGACCTGTCCTACCTGTCATCTGGGTATTGCGACTCATTTTCATCAAGTAGCACCCTGAGCTTCAGAGCTAACTTGACACTAACCTCTTCACTGTAGCCTATCTTCATCGTGTCAAGTAACCTCTGACGAAAATAGTTTGACCTAGTTTATATAAGCCAATCAAATCCATGTTTCAAAATTTTTCACCAAAGTTTGGTGAAAACGCTGATTGGTTGACCGTCAATCGGCAATCCTCGGCTGATTCCGCAAGCTCCATACTAACAACATAGTTATTGTCGAGTGCGGAGACATCCGAGTAGTTCCGAGTGTATTACCGTACACAAAGAAAGCAAGGCGAGTGACTACGAAAAAGAATGTGTTAAGTTATCTCTTGATTCTTTGCAAAATATGAGTAAATCGGAATTGAAACCATAGGGTCTAGCAGTTTGAGGCCCTGCATCATTATCTACTGAGAGACGATGTTATTTGCGTGCTGCCCACAGGTTACGGCAAGTCCCTGATATTCAGCCTTATCTTTGATTGGTCCGGATTTGAACAAAGCGCGCTTTGACTCGTTCGCGTTCATTGGCTAGATCGTATAATGAGTCATTGAGTGCGGGCTTTTAAATTTGATTGGCGGGCGGCGGAGGCAATCGAATCTGGTCAGAGGTTACTTGACACGATGGAGATAGGCTACAGTGAAAAGGTTAGTGTCAAGTTAGCTCTGAAGCTCAGGGTGTCAAGTAGTAGTCATAAGAATACAATAATATGGCAACAGGTGATTTTGAATTTACATAAGCAAACTATTATTTAAACTGTAAATTACTTTCATCTTGTAACACCAGCAGAAAACTCTCATCATACATGTTTGCTCCGTGAAACACATCCATCCCAGTGGCCATGAAAACTTCATTTAAGCCCTAACAGGCTATGCCTCCCCTGACAGAATTAGATCTACCATACTAAATTAATATTAAAAGATTGCACCTAGTTATTTGAATAACTTCGTGGCTATGTTCAAACTTGAACTTTTTGGTAAAAGATCACAGTATTGTATGATTTATTACATAAAACAGAAACTAGCAGCAGCACATGAATTTTGATGAGATGCACTACTTTCCAAGCCCATGCAGAATCATCGCTACCACATTGCATACCAGGCGAGAAGGTGACGCAACTGATACTTCAAAGCACGTACTGATACACATCTTGAAAACAGATAGTGCGATCTGATCAATGTGAATTCCAGATCATGTGGTTCCCTGTCTGGATACTATCTTAAATGTCAATTTAGAAAAACATGGATGTCTGACACCTATGATCACCTATCATTAGACACATTTAAAAGGCATTTTATCTCTGTCTGGGGTAGCGGTAACACTTCACAATTTCACCAAATGCTAACACTGACTTTGACTAAATAAAATAGGGTCGATTTGACTTGTTTTAATCCAATTTAAACCACTTGGAGAAAAAAGTGATTAAAAAGAAGTGATTTGGCTAAGTGAAAAAAATTGTAAGCACTATCCTAGCTTGTTCAGATGCAATTGGCTTCAACCCTTCATTTTAAACAAAGCCCTGAATCCTTTGTAAATTAATTCCCACCTTGTTGACTTTGACAATCAGGTACCCAACAATAATGAAGCATGTTTATAATGATTTTCAGCAGTAGTCTCAAATACATTAACAAAATAGCAGTGGTAGGACTGAAAGTGCAGTACAGCGACATCTGGCGCCAAAAGGGCCGATATACCCCATAGTAGTCTATTAATCTTTCTCAGTGTGCAAATTCATAATGCCGATATAACAGTCCGAAAACTTACTGCTTTATCATCAAACACTTCCATCCCTAGAGCTGCAGACAGATATCTGAAGACATCCAGCTGAAGTGCATGGTTTCCCAGTCTCTTAGAAAGGCTTTCACCTTCATATCCTACTGACAGATGGCTTATTACTGACCATGCTAATAAGATAGGTCCATGGTGCACACTCTCCCCTAAAGTTTTTACATGTGTCTCAAATTCCTGGAAATAAAAGTATTGTAATTATAGTGACTACAACCAAAAAGGCAAACAATAAAATAGATTTTAAATCTTAAGCTTAGTCATTTTCATATTCAAATAATAACATCATCCAATGGGCTAGCCACTGACCTCCCCTAGGCCAGACTAGGCATGCAGATTTTAAATATGAGCAGGCAATAGCAATCTCACCCAGGCCACACTGAAATTTCAACCTGGCTAAGGGAGTTTCAAAATTTGCCAATACAAGATCGAAATTCAAATCATAGATAATTAAAAATTATTAACAGATTAATCCCTAAACAATGCAGCAAAGCTGTCAAATATACAGTAAACAAGAATAATCTTATCAAGCTGGTTTGCCTATTTGAACTGTATGTCAAACATTCTTGTAAGTTACAAAATAATTTCAGGAACACAGTTTTCATTTAAGTTTAGCAGTAGTACACAATATATATATATATTTTTAATCAATTTTGATGTAATGTCAATTTTATTAATTGGGAGCAAAATGATTGTTTACAGACATGAAATGCTTACTAATTTGGGGATCAAATATGCCACAACGGACTTGAAAGCAAGCTGAGACTTAATTGCTCTGTTCCTGCTAGGATGGCATTACATTACTCTTAGGGGTTTATCAGCTTGTTTCCCAGTGCCACCATACATGACCTGTGGACAAGTAAGTGGATTAGAAATAGTGGCATCAGCCAAGATCAAGGGAGTTTCATAAGCAAAGGTGCATATTAAATTTCTACTGGAATTGGTGGCCATCTTGCATATTTAGAGTTCCCCAAGTGACAACCCCGCAAATTTTACTCTATAGCCCCATAGGAGCCAGAATCAAGAGAGAAACTTTACAGGAACATACATTTCTAGGTCCATGTAATTGAGGCATGGGAGTAACTACTCCACTAATAAATTGTATAACTAAAATGGCTTTATTAGGGATGTGATTTATCTATTTATAATCTAAAAGTGTCTGTGACTTGGATTTAACCCTGGCCTATGTTGATTTACATACTGCCTTGACAAGAATGAACTTTCAACTCCCCTTCATATAAAAGCAGATTTTAAATCTGCCTAGGCGAATGTATCCTAACATTATAATTTTGTGGCATATATATTCTAACATTATAATTTTCCTATGCTATCAAAACAAAAATGATGGATATTTAAAGTTATAAAACATCACACAAACATGCGCTTACCTGAGTAACTCTGCTTTCTGACAACACATGATGACGACTGAAACTGAAAACGAGAAAACTCAAATAAATAACAATATAGACACATGCTATGTCACATAATTCCTTTAAAACTCCATGAGAAGAGAGAGTAAATATGACATATAGTTTTGTGCCAAACACTTAAACCCATGCAATCTGATCAAAAAATTATTTTCTAGAATTTTTTTTCTGGGTGAAAGTATTTAAAACAAATGTCAAAATCTGATTTTTTTAAAGGTTTTATTGCTGTATTTTTATCAATTTGACTAAAATGATCTTTCTTTGAAATTAATGTTAATTAATTTTGGTCGAACTGTTTGGCACCACACCATATATTATGAATTAGAAAAAAAAAATTTTTTACACACATACACATGAGAAAATCATGCTTCATAGATATGGGCACTATTGTCAAATGTTGGCCATATGATGATTTTGGAGTACAAGTATAAAAAAATTACTTCAAATTCCAACGAAAAGCCTTCAAAAGTAAAACTAAATATGTCACCTTAGCGTGCTTTATAATATCCTTACACATATATATATAAGAAAAGTGTACTAAACTAAATTTGATGGTTTTTAATTTATCAGCAATTTAAAAGTTGAAATTCACATGCAAAAATTCTTCAATTACTTCTTGTGCTTGGTTGGACTGTCCAACTCAATGGGGAAAATAGCAAAGGTCAAATTTAAAGTCACAGTAAGATTGCCAAATATGCCAATTCCTATTCAAGATTAATAGTAACTGGGTGTATCTCTGCCAGTTTTGGAGACATAAGGGCTGTAAAATTGCAAAGTACAGTTCACCGTAAAAAGTTGGCCAAAGGTCAAATTTAATTCCACACTAAGCAGGCATGAGATTTGGTTTTGATAAAAAAGTCTGAAAGATTTTTCGAAGAAAAATCTTAACGCACACGTAGGCTAGGCCTATACATGTAGGAATAGTTTGATTGACAGTATACACTATAATACAGTAACACACACACACACACACAC